TGAAAAGGCTAAGGATGTATGAATTCCATCTCAGCTCCCTGCAATTAGAATTTCTGTGAGAGGCGTCTTTTAAGTCATTTCATTTTCCTATTTTTATTTGTATATTATGCAAACACATTTCATTTAGTAAGTATATGTACTTGGTTTTATACGTTTACATATGCTACACTTTGTAATATTAAAAATTTCGTTTTCTGCTCATTCTTTAAAACTCTCTTCTGGCACATTTCAGCCAGAGCCTTGCCTGACTTCCTTGGTGCAGTAAGATGACTTCCCGTTGAATAAAATAGCTGATGACAAGCATGGCCTCTGGAGGCAGACTCCTTCGGTTTGAATTTCAGTTCCATGACTTTTGGTTATGTGCCTTTGGGTCAGCGGGAGTGAAAGTGCTGAGAACCCTCCGAGGGACCAACCAGCTTCCCTGAGCTTGTGTGCTTTGGTGCACTGAGTCTTGCTCTGGGATTCCTGAGCCATGGCCCTGTGGATTCTGCTTACGATTGCCAAGCCTTACCCCACCTTTGGGTGCTGCATTCCTCTTCCTTATGGATTCCTCACATCTCATTGGACTGTGTAAAGCTTACAAATTGAAAGGTTCACCCAGTGTCCCTGCTGTTTGCACAAACTCTGGTACAAGACTGCCTGCGTAAGATAGTTGGGACTAATAGGGGAGAGGGAGAAATATAAACCTGGAGAAAATAATATCAGGAGACCTGAGAAGAGAGGAAGGTTTTGAGAACTTCAGGGTTTTATTGAAACATTGTATTTATTTTGATAGTCTTCTGTTTTTAATGAATGTGATAAGACAAGGGCAAGAGTAACCAAATGACTGAAAGAAATGTCCAGGGATTATTTAGCTGGAAGTTTTTGTAAAATTCCACTAAATTCAGGAGAAGTAAATTGCTTTGTTTTAGTGCTATGCATTTTTCATTTCTTTGTGTTTGAAGGGAAAAAACCCGAAATGTATTCTCTTCATTGCTTGGAACATAATATTGGTGATCTGAGAATATAAATAATTAATGTTTCAACGTTTTCCTCTTGGGTTGTGGATTCCTGGCTAGCTGAGATACTATTTTTATCTTTAAGGGCTTCGTTGTGCTTAGAGGTTTGGGGGTACAAGAAAATTGCTGTGTAAATCAGAGATGCTTACTCTATTTCATATAAGGGAGGATGCCTGTATTAAGTTGAGATTACAATATGACTAATATTAGAAGAAAATCTTTCTTGAAAGAGATTTGTGTGCAATCCGCAAACAGATTATGACGCAGTCTTAGAAGAGCAGCTGATGAAATTGTTGGGCATGGAGTTTGAGCAGCTGGGACAGCTTCTAGGATGATTCCTGCTGCAGCTGGGACTCCTGGAAATCTGCTGTGGCTCCAGCCTGTCATTGTTAGTTCGCGGTTGCCCTCTGCTGGTGAAACTGCTTCATCCACATTACCTGCTTCCTGGGAGCTCCCAGGTGGCTGCTCTCCTGCGGTGATCTGGGCTCCTTCTGCAGGGAAGCCTAGCCGGGTTTGAGGAGCTGCAGCTGTGGAGGAGACAGGTCACAGATGCTCTAAGGAGGCGTCTGACCCTCTCAACAGAGTGTGTTGATGTCATTGTGGGTTCTTCCTTTTTCCTCATGCCCTGCACATGGAAAAAAGGCTCTTCTACCCTGTATCAGGTGTAATGAGGAGACCAGATGTGAATGAGGCACTGACTTCCCACAGGAGGGACTCCAACTCAGTGTGTGTGCAGGAGGGAGGGATAGAGGTGGACAACTTCAGAAACCACCGTAATAATATGGAATATTTAGGGCTACTTGTAAGGCCCCTGTCAAGATTGGTGTGTATTTAAAAGGACACATGACATCCCTTGGAATTAAGGCTGAGGGTACTGGGAGAATGGAGGATACATGATGTTTTTCATTTGTTAACATAAAAGTGGAATGTGCTCCGTGTAAAATACACTTGGAAAAATAAAGGCATGGGAAAGAATAGAAGACCCTGAAATCTTACCATTCAGAAGTTATCAGTGTTGACATTTTGATGGGTACATTTTTTGTTGTTCCTAAACTGGAAGTGTACTATATGCAACATGCTTTTTCTTACAATTACATGACAAAGACATTTTCCAATATTTCTGATCATTATTTTTGTAAAAGTACGCTCTTTTATGGTGAGCATTTCATAGGGGATTAACCTGAAGGTTATATTCCCCAAACAGCATCAGCCAAGACATGTAGAGTTACACAGAGAGGAATTGAGAAATTTTCAATTGAGAAATATTTTTTGGACAGTCACAAATTTGGGAATCCATGCCAAGAAAGAATTCTGTCTTTGCCAAGTTGACAGTATATGAAATGAGATAGGCATCTCCTCTCTGTCTTTCAAATACATTTGTGTATGGGTAAATGTGTGCACATATGTATTCATAAAAGCAGATATAAAATGAAGGGGAAACAGGCTATGAAAAGTACATTAGAAAGAAGGTAAGTAGTCGCAGAGGCCTGGGAGAGTGCACTGGAGGAAGGGATAATGAAGCTTTGTTCTGTAAGAGTTATGTAGGTGAGGAAGAACACTGGCAGCAGGAGGGACAGCAGGTGCCAAGGTCCTTGTGGTGGAGAAGCTCAGAAACTGAAGGAAGGTTAGGGGACTGGGCTGGACAGATGGCCTGAGATGAAACTGAAAATGTAGATAGGATCTGAACCAGCAGAGCCCATTAGATCTTGTTTAGGATCTCTGCTGTTTTTCCTACAAGTTACGGGAAACCCCTCACTGCTGTAGGCTGAAAAAGTCAAGACAGAATAATAATTGATATGGGTGAACCAGGTGGCAGTTACTGGAGAGCAGGGAAGACAGATCTAGGGTGGTGATGGTGATGACAGAGAGACACTATGTTCTCAAAAAACTTCTGGGGAATAAAATGTTTAGGTCTTGACATGAAAGGGTGGGTATGTGATGAGACGAGGATGACCCAGTTTCCAGCTGCCCTAACTGTTTGGAGGGAGTGTGCTTCCTGGAGGTGGGGAGAACTCCAGGAGGACTAGGATGAGAAGAGGCAGCAGGGCTGCTTCGGGGAAGAAGTTTGCAGTTGCAGGAGTGGTCTGTGCCATCACAGTGGCCTTTTCCAGAGGTGGGTTTTGCTGTATTTACAGATTACACTGATGGGTCGTCCTGGGATAGTAAGTGGTACCAGGGAAGAAACAAGCACTGGATTGGGTGGCTGTATGTCTGTTTCTGTTCCCTGAAGTCTTGCTTGTTGTGTGTGAAATCCTGGCCATTTCATTGTGGGACTCTGTGGGCCTTATTTTCCCTGTCTTTAAGTTAAGGAAAATATTTAATCCAAACTATTACTGTGAGGATTCGGTGAATGTTGTTATTCAAGGACTTTGTAAACCACCAGGCACTGTACAGACCCACTAGATTATTATTATTATCATTATTAGTATTATTATTACTAGTCCTGCATCTGTTGATGTTACTATTGCCACCCAAACTTTAATGGTATTTACATCAAGAATATGTAATTTAATGCTTTCTCCATACTTTCTTTGGGAGAAAATGGAGTGATTGAATTTAAATAAATAAATATATCACCTACAAGTTAGAGATGGTGGCCCCAAACTACTTCTATGTCTGTTTACTTGATTTCAGACATTCCAGACTTGTAAAAATCATGCAGAGTCTGTGTCACAGCAGAGCACTCTGGGCTCCTGAAAAAATTCTTCTCCCACCCACCTTCCCGGAATCCTTTACCTTTTAAAATAAATCTCATTATGGAGTGCTGACATTTTCAGTAAAACCATTCAACCAAAAGCTGCAGTGTTTTCAGACTAAAAACAAGTCTAGTTTATTAGGCACCAGCTTATAACTCACTGCTGAGTTGATGCAATCTATTTCGAGAACTTATGTAGATGTCTGATAAGACATGGCAGAGACCCTATGTCTTTCTGACTGAGACTGAGTGTTAGGCAGACAGCAAAAAGTTCTTCCTCTCAGTGTGCCAGGAGTTTGATCTCAGTTGTTCTAGAATGGATGGAAATCACAGCTCTTGATCTCAGCGTAATCTCTTGACCTCTCTGCTGTTTCCATCCACTCTCTGATTATCTCTGCTATCACATTCTGCAAGTGACTCTGAATGTAACACTCTTCAAAGGGTTGTGGAAAGATCTGGAGCCAATACCTGTAAGAACATAAGATTGGCAGTTACTAGGGCCCCAATCAATGATCTACTTATTATTTTACTCTTTCTTCCTTTCCCTCTTTTTTTGCATCTCCCTTTTCCTTCTCATATCTCCTGTTCTTGCTAGAATTCATTCAGTCTTGAACTCCCAACTGAGTCAAATGTTTTTAAACTGTGCTTAGGAGTCACTCACCCTCTGTGTCCTAAGTACCTTTCATCCATAGTAACAGTTAACTAAAATAGCCATGGCCAAGATCCATTTCCTTTAAACCTCCCCCTGTGTTTAAACAGGTGAGTACTAGCAACTGTTTCCATTTTACAGATAAACAAACTGAGCCATAGGAATATTGGAAGTCCAGTCTGACAGTCACTATGTGACAGAACCACAAGTTCCTACTCCCATTTTCCTTGAGTAAATAATGTGAATTTTGGAGATAAGCATAAGTTAGTTTGTGGTGATGAACACTGAGTTAGGAAAAGGAGACATCTTTGGTGTCCTCATAGGAAGATGTGCTGTGAAGAGAACTGGGAAGGTATGGTGACACGCGAATCAGCTGATGCTCAACAGATCCAGGCTTGGTGTTATGCCTGTCGACTCCATCATGGGATCTCATGCTGATAAAACATCTCTGTCATGTTCCACTGCTCTTCTTCCTTAGCCATGGGGCCAAGCTCAGGCCTAGGGAGTAGAATGAGCTGTGTCGCAGCTCTTTTTTCTTTGGCGGTGATCAAATCTTACCATCCTTTTCATTAGAAGAGATGTTTCAATAAAGACCATTATCTTTAACAGGGAAAACCTGTGTCTCTAATTTTCCTTTTCTCTGATGATTCTCCTGTAGGATAGACCACTGGAACAATGAGAAGGAAAGGATACTGCTACTCACAGACAGAACTCTCTTGATTTGTAAATATGACTTCATCATGCTCAGTTGCGTGCAGCTGCAGCGGATTCCCCTGAGTGCCATTGATCCCATCTGCCTGGGCAAGTTTGTCTTCCCTAGGATGTCACTGGACAAGTGAGTATGATGCCTTAGACCTGGGGAAATCATATAGTGGGGTGGAGCATGCAGGAAAGACAAAAACACAACTCCATTCAGTGATGGAAGCTGGGAGAACAGTGACTTTGACAGTTGAATTCATCAAACACCCGAGTTTTTACTCCAGGTCAGGCACCAAGGCACACGTGTTCTCTTCTAAGACTGAATGTGAGCAGTTCCCACTGAACTATGAGTTTCCTGAGGGCAGGGATCATTTTTCTTATCCTTTAGGCACCTGGCTTCAGAACTGGTGCATAGTGATGCATCTTTTTAAGATATCAGTGGCAGGAAGAAAACACTCTGAACGGATGACTGTTTTTCTTTAGTCATAGCTTATCATATTAAATAGCTGGTTTCAAGGATGCAAGCAGTGATCAACTGACTAGGTTCATTACATTTTCATCGGCAGATTGTTCAATTAGATATAGATAAGAGAGCTTCAAAGTTTCATGGAAAATATGCATTATGGAAAGCCATGCGTGGATTTCAATGTATTTGCATTAAAATAAACATCTTTTAAGAATGTATTTTATTTTATTTTTAATGTTATTTGCATAGATGATAAAGATGGGTGCCCATGCAGGCCACTGACTAGGGTAGGGAGAGTCCAGGCATAAAGGAAGGAGAATATGGCAAATGTTTCCATTTTTTTTTTTCTTTTTCTCCTGTTACCTACAGGGTGTAGAGCAAAGGGCTCCTTGTTGCCAAACTACATTAGCCCTGGAGGATGTGCTTGGTCATTTGAAGTCATCTTAGACACCCTGATGTGGGGAAGAATGCTAGGAGGGTGTCACTTGAATTCTTTTGGCAGTTCTGAGACATCGTTTCTTTGCATAGGGTTGAAAAAAGTCTTTCCAAGATTTATTTGATGACAAAGTCTACTTTAGTGCATCCATACACCCAATTCTTGCAGGAAAGCTTGGCCAGAAGAATTGTCTAGTCTGTTCTGTTTCCATCCTTTGATGTGGTACTCAACATCCTGTACTAGCCTAGATGAGCTGGTGGTCCAGGGTCACTTGTACATCTGGGCAAGCTGTCCACTGCTCAGGCATCAGCAATCAAGGATATACTATCCCCAGTATGTGCACTCCACTTCAATGTCAGACCACATCCTGTGGTCAAAGTTTGAGTTTAGCAGATTAGTTAGGGGGTCCCCCAAAAAACCCTTACCTGAGGTATTCACAAAACTGACTCTTGTGTCACACCAGCCAGTACAGGGTCCACTTGACTCCACCACATACATCAACCTACACACATACCTGTGAGTTTAGCTGTCTTGTCAGCTGTGGCCTATCCCAACCTAGACTGCCACAAACCCAGCCCTTATGTACACTAGCAGGCGCTGCAGCCCAGTTTGGGCGACCTCCAATAACCTCCACCTGGGCTGCCCTAGTCCCATTTTGTGTAGGTGACTGCATGTGCAGCGATCTAGTCCAGCCTGTCTGGCATCCCATCTAGATCTCATACACACCATGGATGCTGTGGCTTGGCCTGACTTACTTCCAGACTCAGCACACACGTATGCCAGTGGGTGCTATTGCCTTGTCCAGCCTGACTTGCTCTGAGCCCTGTCTCCTGCTCACCACTGGCAGGTGCAACCCAGCACAGGAGTGCCAACAGTTGCCCTACTAGGTCCAATCCCAGCCCTGGATCTTATGCGTGCCAGGGATATTGCAGTTTAACCTAACCTAAACTGACTTGCACCCAGTCCTGGTACTTGCCAGCAGATGCTGTGACAAAGCCCTGTCCAGCCTGCTCCCATCCTTGGCTCTTGTGTAAACTGGCAGGTAAAGTAACTCAGCTCAGCATGGCTCACAGCCTATCTTGGCTGTAGTGTATGCCCGTGGATGCTAAAGCTTGAGAGTCTACTTTTCCAGACTGTTTGATGTTCCCTTGTACATAGGAAATTATGTATATAAAGGTTTTTTTTTTTTTAATTGAAAGGCAGATGTTAAAGAGAGAAGAAGAGACAGAGAGAAAGATCTTCCATCTGCTGGTTTACTACCCAAGTGGCCACAGCAGCTGGAGCTAAGCTGATCTGAAACAAGGAGCAAGGAGATTCTTCAAGGCCTCCCACATAGGCACAGGAACCCAAGGCTCTGAGCCATCTGTTACTGCTCCCCCAGGCCACTAGCAGGGAGCTGGATGGAAGTGAAACATCTTGGATAAAAACTGATGCACATATTGAATCATGGCACATGCAAGGCTATCACACGAGGCCAGGAAAAAAATTAAATTTACTTTTAAGAGGACTTAAAAATGTGCTTTTTAGGGAGCTGAGTCAGATGTGCAGCAACTGAACTGATGCCCGTATAGGACGCTGGTGTTGCAGGCTTTGCTTGCTGTATCATAGTGCTGGCCCCAGAAAAATATTTTTAAAGATTTCAAACAGACATTTTCTGTACAGGCTGCAACATTTTCTTGTGTATTCTTTAAAGAAATAGTACAAAAATAGCAAAGAGTGAAGATGTTTTAGTGTATATGTTTAAATATATACCTTAATTAAAATTACATATATGTGCACATATACTTATTACATATTGTTTAAACAAAGGGCAGTAAATGGCATAAATTGCTTCATGCTGCATTACCTAATGCCTCATGCTACATTACCTAATGATATAAATTAAAAACTTTTTATATAGTCATATATAGATCACTATCAGTTTTATAGTAGTGTATAGACTAATCTGTTTATGCGGGCTCTCATTTGTGGATAGTTACCTTTGCCTTTATAAAAATATTTCTCTAAATATCCTTTCCCACACAATTTTGCATAGATGTGTTATACTGTTTGTACTGTCAGTTGCTGGCAGTGGCTTTTGGAGGGAAAGACCTGATTTTAGCAGATAGATAGCTGCAATGGTTTTCCTAAATGACAAGGTCAGTTGGTGTTCCCAGCAAGTACACAAGTAGCCTTCTTACACACTGCCACCAACATCGTCACATACAGTACCGACATTTTGACTTTTCCAGAGAGAGAAGCTAAAGACAGCTATCTTCCTTCCACTCGAATATTTATCTCTAGAATTTGAAGAAAAGTGAATGTGTATTTCTTAGGTTAAGAATATTATTTTGTTAAAGAAATATTTATTTAGGCTTACAGGGAAGTGAAGATACATAGCAGTATGCATCTGTACTCCTGAATAAAAAGAGGACTCCGAGTTAATCAGTTAAATACACCTTGATGGTATGACACTCAATTTTATATTCTTACCTATTCGTATGTCAGGCTGGACTTACCTATACCAGTGTCAGGATATATTGAAATAGCAGAATGTTAAACTTGTGATTGTTACTAAAGGGCTATGATACTGTAATGATACGAGGGGAAATGGTGGAAGGGGAAAGTGGGAAAAGAGGGAAGGAGGAGGGGGAATTCCCTAAAAAAATCACCCGCAAAATTGTATCATGGAAAATAATAGGGGCCACTGCTTATAGTCATATTTGTTAGATATGTAAACTTTATAAATGGTTAATTTTGCTCAACATTGCTTTTTCAGCAACATGGTAGAGTTTTACTATTACATTTTATATATGATACTATTTTGTTTCTTCTTTGACAGGAGAATGGATTGAAATAACTGTATAATTTAAATTTACATGGCACTTAAGAAATGTACATATTTAGAAAATACAGCATGTTCTTTCAAAACATGTCCATGACATGAAATGATCAGATCCGATCAGAGGAATTTGTGTATCTATCAGCAATTTTTTTCTGTGTCACAGTCATTGGAAATGCTACTATTTTAAATATATATATATTAAATATAGAGTTAATTGTCACCATGTGCTATAGAACAGCAGAAGTTGTTTCACTTATCTAACTGCATCCTTAATTGTGTTCATCACCCTCTCTCTAGGCCCCACCCACGTGTTGCCAACTTCTGGTAATTACTCTCCTAGACTCTACTTCTGTGAGATCAAACATTTTTAATTTCCACATAGCAATATTTGTCTCTCTGTGTCCAATTTATTTGACTTAACCTGTTACGCTCTAGGCTCAACCAGGTTGCCACTATTGGCAGCATCCCAAAGAGACAGACTAGTAGAAGGAACAATGCGTTGCTCTCTGCCTGTGGAGTTACCCACTGCATCTAGCCATTTTGTTCTTACCCCTGAGGGTATTCATCAGTCACTCCAGTTGGGACACTGTTCTTTTGTTGTGTCATCCATTTTAGTGAAAGGGAATGGGGAAAGCGACAAGCAATCCTAATTGATAACCTTGTAGACATCAGAACTTTTTTTTTTCTAAAGCGAGCTTGTTTTAATGCCCTTACTTTTTTATGCTACATAGTGTTCAGAAAATGTCTTATTATTTTTACTCTTTGGATTTTCAGTGAATATTTTTATATCTAACTATCCTGTTTTTTTGTTTGTTTGGTTTTTTTTAACAATTTCATAGATATTTCAATATGCTATCACTCTATGTGAAGTTTGATAAATGACGTTTAGGTAACTATTACGATATTATTTTTAAATTATCTTCACATTTTTACCTGTTTATCTGATAGTAAGTGTTTTTCTACTTGAGCCGATATGAATTTTTCTGTGATTATGCTGAAGTTTTTAACTTTTGACTTATATTGTGAATGTTGACATTGACTTGTGTGATGTAGAAACACCTGCTTCAGGCAGGTATTCTGCCTGTTAGATACTGTAAACCTTATGTTAATTTGCTTTGAATTTTCTTGATGTGTTGTCAATTTCTTTAAACATTTTGAGTCTCTTCAGTTTGTTGATGTGCTCTTGTATGTTGCATGTGAGCATGATGCAAATAGTTCAGAAAATGTATAGGCTATGAAAAACCAATGCCTATGTTTCATTTTTGCATCAATATGAAGATTTCTTTGAATTTCATTTTTCATTACTATTTAATTGTCTTTTATTATAGAATTTTGCTGTCTGATATAACAGATAAAGTATTTCTGCCATGTTGATTTTTATATGATTGTACTTCTAAGCATAGTACTATA